GGCAGTGTTAAAAGGACAGCTGTAGGTATGCACCACTCGCTCCTGTAACTTATCCCCATCTATTTATTTCCTAAGTCTTTGTGTACGACAGGCTGTGATTTCTTTATAAACGCGTTTAATCATGACTCACCAAGCAGGCTTGTTTCATTTAAGCCGTTATAAGCGGATAATATCAAACTCGCTTGCAATATGAAACCTGAAAGAACTATAACCTCAGAGCTGGGGTTGTTTGGTTTTGCTTTACGGCTGGCCAGCAGACCTCTGTGTACCCAGTTACTGGTTATTGAGTCCTCTCCGAAGTTGCCCACTTGCAGAGAGGTAAATGCTGTGGTTCTGCATGCAGACATGTGAATATGAAGCCTTGTCTTTCGGCATCAGCTTGTATGTTGTCTCCGTGACTTAGTAAAACCATTTACTCTGGGTTAGTAAGAGTTGGCAAGCCATCTGATGTGCTTTACCGTGACTTTAAACGAGTCAAGGACGTTTTAAGTCCAGGAAAGATCGTTGACGGATTTTCTTAAAGTTAAAATAAAATATTGCAGCATTTCCCATTAGCATTATCTCTTGGAAATCGCATACTGCACAGGAGTTATTTAATCGACTGTCGTTTTATAGAAGTTCTGTTCCCTTTGGCAAGTCTGCCACGTCTAGGAAGAGAACCAGCATGCCAGAAAGTCTGTTTGTAGCAGCTTTCCTTTTTTTAAAAAAAAAAAAAATATAGGACCAAGACGAGTTTTAAAAAAAAAAAAAAATATATAGGACCAAGACGAGTTTTGTCTCCACGGTAGTTCAATTTTTCAGTATTGTTTGTAAAACTTTCGGAATTATGTTTTGTAGTGGGACAAAGAAGTGACAGAAGATGTGGGATTTGGTGGGAGGTTGCGTGATTTTCATGAAACATCAGGATCTGGTACTCCAGCTAATGAGAAATAAGTTCGTATTCTGTACATCCAAGAAACAGGCCTCCCGTGGGAGCAAACAGAGAAAGTTTCGTTGCTTTCAGGGGAGCCAAGATCAAGGCCACAATAACCCTCTGATCAAGCTCCAGTTACTCCTCCAGTTGGTGCCTGAATCTTCACCTGGATCCCACATCGGCTGTGGTGTATACCTGCGGTGTATTGGACCTAAAGATCACACTTTGAGGCGGTGGCAACGGTGGGTGACAGCATGTGCCAGGCAGCTCGAACAGGCACAGCTTGGCTCTGGGTCCGTTCTCAGCATTTCCATTTTATAGTTTGTGTGGCTGGCTGAGTGGCGGCAGGGACTTGCTCTTTTGGTGAAATCCCCTCTGGTACTTCTCTAAGGAGACTTGTCGGGAGGCAAGGCTTTGGGGAAAGCAAGTTTCATATGATCAAGGCATATTTACAGGCGACACTGGGAGACTGGGATCATCTCGTCCTCCCTTCTGCTCCTGGTGCGGTGCTGTGTGTACCCTTAGATGAGCTATTTTCGGAGCTCCGGTATGCAGAGCGTTTTTACAGTTACGTACAAAATAAAGAAGTTTAAGAACAAAAGATTGTTCTGGACAGTCAAACTGGAATGAGTTGGAAGGATATATTTAGGAAGTGGTTTCTTGGACGCTAATTAGGACCATTTGCTTGGGGTTGCCATTATTTTCCTTTTAGTCTGGAGGGCACAATAGATCAAATGATTTATATATCATTAACAATTCTTGTTAACCATAAGCAGGGTTGGGCTTTTCCATACTGATTACCGAGTAATGCAATAACGACTTGTTTTATTTCTTCTGCAGTGTCCATATGAGCAAGTTAACGTGAAAGACCAGTCCAAAAAGAAGCGCTTCAACTCATTTTTTAAAATATAAGAGTATAAACGTCTTTCGTTCTGCGAGAGCGGCTGCGAAACCGAAGTCCATCAGCTCTTTGTGACTTCCACTGCTGAAATGCTGGCATTTGCTGTACCTGATCCTGGCTCCCACTGAATGCATTTTAATTGTAATAAAACACAAACTGAACCATATGTGCACGTGTGTTTTAGACGCCGCGTTATTGATCTCCCTTTCCCTTTCTTTTGCGCTACAAGTAACGGGTTACAATCCCATAATACAATTATTTTCACTTTAAAAGAAACTAAGAGAGCGAGCATATGCAATCATTAAAATGCCGCGGTTTTATTTAAAGCTACTTTCGTGTGCACCGTGATGCCCAAGAGTTGTTGATGCTTGTGGTACGCCCAAGAGTTTCGGCTGTTTGGAGGAAGGGAGGGGCAGGGAGGGACGACGCGGTGCTGTGCGGTGCGATGCGGTGCTGTGCGGTGCGGTGCTGTGAGCACCGCTGAAGTCGGGCGCTGCTCCTCACCGGCAGAGGCGGGTGCCCGGGGCGGCGGCAGCGCTCCCGCCGCGCACCCCGGGAAATCCGCCCTCTAGGATGAGCCCATCCCCTGCGGCTGCCCCGGGGGATGCTCCGGCGCCTTTGTACCTCGAGCTCGGGGATGCCTAAGCACAGGCGCGGCATCCGGCCCCGGCCCCGGCCCCGGAGCCCTCCCAGGCGGGCCGGGCCGGGCGGCTCCACCGCGGGTTTCCCGCCGCTGCCGCCTGTCCCCCCCAGCCCCGGAAGCTGATCCTGCCGCCCTGGGGCAGGGCCCGAGGAGGGTCCCTGACACACTCATTACCGGATTAAATCCCTTGCACTGAGACGGGGAATGGGAGAAAGAAAGGCTCGACAGAATCGCTTGGGTTCCTGAATAATTTGAATTCTTTGTATTTGATTGAACATTGGGCTGTTTGGTGTCCAAGTTTGTAAAAGCCTTTGAAAGACAAAAGAATTCTGTTTGCAAACATAATCTGAAGTGTAAAACACACTACAGATATTCATGAGCACCCAGGAGGTACTGAGCGCTGGGGTGCGTTAGAGGCAACCTTGCCAAGAGCTCCTTCGTCTTTGTTTCATTAATACCAAAGTCCTCTTTTACTTCCTGCTAAAGTTATTGATATCTGGACTACTGTATTTATTGTTTAGCGCGACTTCCCCACCACATATCTTCATTAAGATCGAATGGCACTCAGATAATATGTCCTATCATAGTGTAGATGAATTGCTACGTCCGGAACATCCTAAACGAAGCCCAGGCTCCGGGAGTATCTCTGGGATGAAGCTGGTCTCCTCTGCCCGCTCCCCGCAGAGCGCTCGGCCAGCGGGGGACTTGCAGGCAGTGGCCTTGGGGACATCCCGATGCTACACAGCAGCCCCGAGACGGACCTTGGGTGGGACGGCATGGGGTTACCCAGCGGGGCTGTGTTAAATGGAAAGGCTTTTTTTCATTTGTGTACTTTCAAATGAAACAGACAGTTTCATTTAGACAGGAAACTCTTTGTCAGTTGCTTGGTGTCCCATTTTGATCCTTCCTCAGCTATGGCTGAATTAAATGTCTTGAAACCTGTTCCAGAAAGATGCATGTACGGGCTTCCAGATGCTAAGAGTTAGATCATTTGAACGTCAGCGCAGCCTTCTGGTAACAAAAAAACATCCAAATGGGTTTCGTTTGTGTATTAACATCCGTCAGATGGGAGAGTCGCACAGTTTAGAACTAAAGTCTGTTTTCACCGTTTTAGCGACTGAGTCCACATGAACGTCTCGTCTGGCAAGTCAATAGGTTGAAGCTACATTGAGCAGACTGAGTCCAAATATCTGAAATGACTGGAATAGCTGTGCTAACAAACAGCGCTTTAACGTATGAGGCTATTACTGCTGTTTATATAGCTTCGCGCGCGCATGCAAATAGATGGGGAGGGGGGTCATTGCGGGAAGAGACAGCTATAAACGCATCCAGTGAGCTGCGCACCCCAGACCTGAGGGGACTGAACTCGGCCGCACGGCGAGGTCCTGCTAGTGGGTCCCGGGTCCGTGAGGGGGAGCCGAGCATCGGTCACTGACTGTCACCCAAAGGCCACCACTGCTCCCCCCGCCGGCGTGGCGGGGTCCTCCTCTGACGGCTGTCGCACTAGGGGGGGAATTTGTAACGCAAGGTCCGGTTGTGTTGCCGCCGCGGCAGTAATAATGAAATAAAGCATAACATTAGTTAGGCGCGACGCAGCAGGTGGCTTATTATAAGCCTCGCATATTCCTCTGCCTCCTGCTCCCATTAGAGCGCCGGTAATTGGGGGGGAAAAAAAAATATGTTAGGATCTTCG